GGGAGGAGGCCGTGTAGAAATACATGAGGATGCAGGGGCAAAAAACAGGAGCAGTCGGCAAACATGTAGCAGCAGCAAGAAGAAAATGACAATGAGGAACAAGAAAAGGAGGAAGAGAGAGATAATCATGATCATTGAAACTGAATGATAGCAGAGGAAAGGATTTGTGAATCCCACTTAACAGAAAAATGACTAGAAAACTAGGGGTCAAAGAGTAGAAGTGGGAAATCTGAGGCCTTGCAATGCTTGATGACGATGGGACTTCCCACTCCTGACTTAGAACAAGGGTTAAGCAAACACAAATCCATCCAAACAAGGGGAAAGATCTTCCTGTGCTCTGCACACTCTATTTTAAAGCTGCAACCCCAGTCATGTTCAAATAGAAAAATGTCCCACATCTCCCAACACACCTGAGCCAACCACACTGGTAGCAGGAGTTCTTTCTGCCTAAACATGCCTCGGATTGAACCCTAAACCTCACAGGCTCAGGTATGCTGAGAGCCATAGGCCCTTTTCCATAAGACCATGTTTTTAGGCTATTTTCATCTTGGGCTTATGCGGCATTGGGTTGAATTCAGTCTCAGTCAGTTGCACTCACTTGCCATTGATATCAATGGGATGTATTATGGAATGTGATGGAACGTCACCCCTTTCTGATGATTAATGTTATTACAATGCTAACAGACACACATTGTTCTTCAAGCTCAGCTTTCCCCAAGACAAAAAGTCCTAGTTCCATTTATTTAACACAAGAGGGGGCTGTTGCTTGAACTTGGAGGAGACACCAAACACGGGGAGGTTTAAACAGCCTTAACTGGCTTGGTGCGTAAGATATTTAAGGATACCATATGTTCAGAATATGGAGATTTCTTGACCTATTTTTCATTATGGTTTTTAATAGATTATGACCCTTGGATTTTCCAGTATTTACAACTGACACACAGACACTTTTTCAAGCCATTCCTTGAAGAGACAAAGAAAAATCAAGGACTGTACTGCAAGCTGCAGTCCTGGTACAGTCCTTAAGCCCTCAGCACCATCCAGCCCATCAAGAAAGAGAATAAAACTATTTGGTTGAAAGCTTCTGGGATTATACTTTTAAATA